AAAACTAAGTTTTCTTGTTCGGTAATGTACAAAACTAGCTGTAAAGAAACAGGTATACAAAGTTTTACATATATATTAAGGGAGAGGAAGGAGGGCTAAGATCTTTGTGGGAAAAAACATGAAAATTTTATTCCATATATTTAAAATTTTTAATATTGATTTTATACTGATTGAATACCGCTCACAGTTGTTACTCGAATTTTTCGCCTTAAACTAAACAGATGAGTCTACGATATACTAAAAATGGATATTGAAAAGATTAGCAAGAGCCCTACACAAGATAGGACGTATCATAAATTACAAGCAAAATAAGGCAGAGCATTCATTATTCATAATCATGCTCTGCTTTAATCAAAAGCACAAATTTATATTATAAAGTCTAAATTATAGCGGAGAATAGTTTATGTCTTTGGCTTATTAAAGTTCATTGAGTTTTTTATACTTTTATTCAATAGTTTAAATTTGGTGCATTTTTCCTTCAGACTTTTATAAGATCCGAAAAAACTTGAAAAAAATAGGTCGGTAACATTTTCTTCGGGCTCCCTCCATTGATTATCATTGTCGTAGTCACAACAAAGATTTTTATCCAGCAAGTAGCAACAATATATCCAAATTCGGAGAAGGCTCTATTCTGATGTTTTACCAAACAAAAAAACGCGATTATGAGCTGATCAAGCGAGAGGGGAAGAGCTGCAATTTGTATTCCAGCGCAAAAACCGCCACGTAGCGCGAACCGCCGGCGAGGAGATTCGACGCCTCCGTCCGGAATCGATTTATTCCGTCACGCGTTCGAAACTCCGATCGGAGAAAAAGAGGGGGGAGAAAAAAGAGTAGCTTCTTTCGAGGAAGCGGGTGGATGAGTCGCGAGCGGCGACGGTGGCCAAAGGATTAAATCAGAACGGCGGAAATACGGGACACGGGAGGGCGTGGAGAGACGCGAGGAGGCGACCGGCGCAGGAAGGGGCCGAAGGAAAAAGTCGCGACAGGACTTCGTCCCGACGAAACTTTTGTTTCCTCGCTTCTTCATCGATAGCTTCAGCCCGCGCCGTCAGACCGCCCCGTTAAAATGGGTCGAGTGTGAAAAAAGAAACAGACGGGGGAGAGGGGGAGGAAGAAAGGAAACGTCTCGCTATTCCACATTTTGCGCAACCAGCAGCGTTTGAGCCGAAAGCCGCAAATGCGCCGCCGCCGGCGGAAAGAGGAAACTCGCGCGCGAGACTCGGCGACTCACCCCCGGCCGACTCCTGGAAGAATAATATTTTAAAGCCGACAAGGAAATATAAAGCGGAATTTCCTTCGCGGCCGTTAGCCGCGAAAATAAGCGCGCGGCCCGAAACTGTGCGGAATTCATTGTCTGATTCTCCCCGCGTTTTACCGCTCCGCTCCTCGATATATTTCCTTGTGTTTTCGTCGTCGGCGGTCGGTGACGCGCGAGCCTCGCCGAGATACACCAGCGACAACTATAGCTATTGTTTTCCGCGATCATACGTGCAGCGTTAATGAACGCGCAGACATGAAAGAGAGAAAGAGAGAGAGAGAGAGAGAGAGAGAGAGAGAGAGAGAGAGAGAGACAGACACATAGACAAAGAGGGAGAGCGAGGAGCAACGAGAACGGGGAGCGCTTTTCATTTTAATTTGACGTCGACGCGTCAAAGAGGGTTCCTGATATCGCGCTGCGCTGTCAATAAACGATCGATCGAGATCGCTCGGCGGGCGCTACATAATAGCGGCGACGATCGATCGGTCGGTCGGCCGGTCGGAGCGAAAATCGATCGGCAAACGCTCGTAAATGATAAAATATGGAGATGCTATTAAATTCTCATTTAATTAGCCGACAGCACGCCTGTCCGGCTAATTATAAATTCCAGCCGTGCGTTAATCTCCAGCTCTCGGGAAAACTCGATATTCATGTCCGGCATAGTTCCGCGACGAAGCCCGGGGACGTTAATTTTTCACCGCGGGAAACTGTTGTCGGTCAGATTTTATTCCGATCGCGCGACTAATCGAGTCGATGTTCGATGCAGATTTCCCGTCGTAATTCGGAGAACCGAAGAACCGCGAAGTTGCGGTGATCCACCGTTCTTCATTTTCCTTTCCTTTCCCCTCCCCGCCCCTGTCCTGCCCCGTCCGTGGGCGATGAAATTCCGCGAGAAGAACCGAGGACGGAGACTCGAGACCGCGCACAATTTAGTACGAATAATTACGGTGCGGTTTGTCCGAAATTCGCTCGGCATTCGCTCAGCGATACGAGCGTAAACACAGCTGCGCTAATCTCATTATGCGTTCTATCTTCACATTCCTCGCGAAAGAGAAGTCCATCTTGCGTTCGTCGGGCACGCGCTCGTGCACGACGCCTGCGCAGAGAACGCGGGTCTTTCATAATACTTTCCATAATATATATATATTCAGCACTCTCAGCACATTTAATAACACAAACATACGCGGTGGAAGCGCACACGTGGCTCTCACCTTCTCTCCCCCCCCCCTCCCACTCTCTCTCTCTCCCTCCCTCTGTCTCTCTCTCTTTCTTCTTTCTACCTCTCTTTTTCTCTAATCGTAGCTAATGCGCTCGTTAATTAATAAACGTTCTTAATTTCAACGGAAAAAGGGCGAGAAGGGGAGAGAGGGCGAGAGGCCGAGAGGGGGAGAAATTAAATTGAGGAACGAGGGGCGAAAATTGCGCGGTCAGTTTTTCCGAGCTTAATTTCTCGAAATACACACACACACACACACACACACACACACACACAAAGCCGCGGTAGCCGGTTGCGCCGTCCGGCCGGAAATTGAAAAAATTGGCATACTTATTGCCTCGGTAATGTTTGATTATTAAAACGCGGTGCGAGAGGAGAGGAGAGGGGGATATGAGCGCGGCGCGGCTCATGTGCAGGTGCAATCCGTTTCCTGCCGTCGCGCAATTTTTCCGAGGCCGATGCGCGTTCAGCGTTCGCAACACGTGAACAACGCATATCCCGGAACTCCTGGTCGCGTCAGCATCAACATCTCAACGCGCATCCCCCCTGCCCCCCTCTCTCTCTCTCTCTCTCTCTCTCTCGCTCTCTCTCTTTGTAGTATACAATGCACGAGCGCGGTGAATGCAGAAGTTAGTATTGTTAGCGGTGGACAAAAGCGCGCGTGCGCGCGCGAACGGCTATGTAAAGGACTTCTTGCGTTTCTCGAGTTTATGAGCAGAGTGCAAAACCGTGGCTAAACGCGCCTACTCCCCTCTGAAGACCCGGCCGCCGCGCCGCCGTTAGTCGTTAGTCGGCCCGTTTAATCTTTTGACTTGTGACGCGGGCGCGCCCGGTTAAACGCATTAATTCCGCGGCCCCTTCCGGTATTTTGCGATGACGACTTGATTCCCGCGTCAGTCAAGTTGCGTCGCAGCGGAGAGCAAGAGAGAGTTCTCCTCTATTTAGAGGAGAGATAATACCATCACGGCTGGCGCACACGCTCTCGAGGCGCCCGCCCGGGCCGAGGATCGTTTGACGATCGACCGCGGTCGCCTCCGTTCGTACACATAATGGAACTTGCCGTCGACTCTTCGCGCGACGCCCAGCCGTCGGGTGGGATTTTCAGCTGGCAATACTTGTAAATTCCCTTTACAGGAAAGAAGATAAAAGACAAGGGAGACAATGGGTGCGTCCACGACACTCAACGGTTGTGCAACTGTTGGTTGAGTGATATCGTCCTGAACGCTACTGAGCGATGCGCTCACTCGCAACATGTTGAGTGAGCGGGCGCCATTTGTCTCATCATAAGTATTCGTCGCTACCTTTACTGATCAGTCTCCGATCCAACATGGCGCAGCCTATGAATAAAGAAAATAACAAGGAAAATAGTCATATAAATTCAAATATATACAGGGTGCTGAATTCCAAACGTAACAGATAAAAAATCTCGGAAACTATGAAAAATATTAAAAAAAGCTAAAGCACGTGTTCCATGATTTCGAAGGGGAAAGAGAATGGCATTATCAGTTTTTTATTTGGAGGGAATTTTCAAGGTCAGTTGAAGGTCAACTTAATTTTTTTTTTAATAGAAAGCCCAATTTTTTATTATATCTTTCTTTTTCTACCAATTAATTTTAACAACTTTTGTCTCTGAAACATTTCTTTATTTGCCTAATATTTTTTGAAATATTTCAGGAAAACTTGGTAACTTTTTCAACATTTAACTTACTTACGATATCTCGCTGCACTATTCGTCGAAAGGAAAAATAGTATTAGACTCTTTTACTTTATTTATTATCAAGAATATATTACTGTAATAGTACCCTAACTTTTGTTAATTTATCGACCTTTGGAAATTTCAAAATTATTAAATTAAGTGTAACGAGGAATGTCAAGGATGATGTAGAATACATTCTAACAGACACATATGAATTATATTTATAAAAATACTTAATAATTACAAAATACATAAGCGTGTAGACGGGCCGTAATATTTAGTACGTTTATGTGACATTTTTTCCGCGCAACAAAATCGAGCAGAACTCTGATCAATTGCAATTCAGTGTACATTTCTATTGCTCACTCATCGGATGCTCAACTGTTGTGCAACTGTTGAGCTTCGTGAACGCTTCCAATGACAGGGCCGAGAGACGCTTGTCATCCGCCGGAGATGGGTCCGAGAATTGCGGCCGCTGATATATACGCACGGGGCGAGGATTAACCCTCCGCGAGGAGCTGCGACGACCCCTCGTATTTCATTCGAATCAGTCTTATAAATCGCCTGTCTTGTCTCGTGTGTCGGCAATCTTTACACGCTGCTCACTGCGTACTCGGTATGCAAGCGTATTATTTCACGTAAGAGCGTGTCCTCGCATTGATCGAACGTTGAAATATCCGGCCGCTGGCCGGAAGTGCCGGAGACTCGAAACTCGAAAAATACGCCGGCGGCCGGCCGGTACGGAGGGTTGATTTCGCGGCGGTTATCGTTTTTCTCCGTGTCTTTTGCACCGCCGCGCATTTCTCACCGGAGGTCGACTGTTATTTCAGAGCCATCGGCGGCGCGATACTGTTGCTGATGGTCTGCGCGACCGCATACGAGTACAGGTCGTTACCTCCGCCGAAGGACATAGAGTCCTCGAGCGCGTCGAATAACAACGACAAGACCAACGAGGACAAGAATCTGAACGACGACCGCGGGAGCGCGCTGGGCCTGGAAAACGGTCAGGAGCTGATCGAGAAGGGGACCAAGCGTCCGCAAAAAGAGGGCCCGATCCAGAAGAAGGACCCGCACCGGGAAGGTCGTTAATATACGCGTCTCAGTCCGTCGCACAATGGGGCCAGATGGCATTCTTTGGTTGAAAATTCTCTAGAGACCTGAATTCCCAACCGATCATCGACACCAATGGATGAGGTTGATCCTGAATAAATTCCGAAGAGATCTGTCTTGCCAAAATTAAAGAAAAAATTTTTTCTCAAATCACTAGCCCCAAAAGAGGAAAAATTATCGTTAAACGCGAAAAAACTTGTGAAATACTCAGCATTCGATATTTATTTCTATCTAATAGCGTATTCAGCGGATTGAGACTATGAAACCAATCAACAGACACCTCAAGATTTATCGATTTTGAAGCAGAAACCCATTAACCCAAAACTCATATGCCCAAAATACAAAAACATTAAATATAGACCCGTTAAGTACAAAACCGAGGGATTTTGAGTCTTAAACCCATCAATCTAGGAATCTAGATCAATCCGAGAACTTTTTAGCTCATGGATGCATGAAGCCGTATATATTAAGAGCCCGAAATAGTCCAAGAACCCAATCTAGCCATAGCTCGAGAACCTAATAATACTCGACGTTGAGTATTCAGCTATAAAACATTAAGTTCGAGCCTCGAAACTTTTAAGACAAACCCTAAACCTATGAACCCTGAACCGATAATTTTTTCAAAATTTTGGCTAGACGGATCTTTTTGGAATTTATTCAGGATCAACCTCATCCATTGGTGTCGATGATCGGTTGAAAAGGATCAGGCCTCTAGGGGAATTTTCAACCAAAAAATGTCGTCTGGCCCCATTGTGCGTCGGCGCTTTCTTACGTCGAAGATACCCTTAATCCCATTCTCAGAGCCCTTCATCGGCTTTTGTCGTTCTTTCAGGATTCTGGCTGAGGTGCCTGCTCGCGTTCAGCCCCACTGTCAACGGCAGCAAGATCATTAGCACGGAGCCCGCAGCCAAGGATAATCTCACCTGCCTGCACGGTCTCCGAGTGCTCTCACTGGGATGGGTCGTCATGGTGCACACGTACCTTCAAGTCTTCTCTATTGCCGGTAATGTCGCGAGAGTTTGCCAGACGTCGCGACAGAGAAGTAAATAAAAAACGAGAGACACAGAGAGAGAGAGAGAGAGAGAGAGAGAACACGCTCGACCACGTGCGCGGACCCGGAAGAGCAGGAGATAATGGCGCGGCAGTTGTTTCGTTAACGCGGCACTTGAAATTAATTGGATCGCTCTACTTTCTATAAATAGTTTACGATGCAATCGATACAGCCGCTCTATGATGCAATAGGCTGCATTGCGACTTTCTTGATGAGTACGCGGTAACCGCGGAGAGAGAGAGAAGGAGAGAGAGAGAGAGAGAGAGGGAGACTCGCGCGCAAATCGCGCGGAGCGATGTATCACTTTCACCGGCGACATTGCGTTTAAGTCTTTCCCTTCTTGCAGAGAACAAGATGCTGCGAACGGTCACCGAGAGGAATTTCATGTTCCAGACCATCAGCAACGCCACGTTCTCCGTCGACACTTTCTTCTTCATCAGGTGAGACCCGGCGCGGCGCGACGCGAGCAACCTTTGTTTCGCGATCGGGCAAAAGTGAGAGGCAAAAGTGAGATTCATTTAATTGTTAATAACCTTGCACAGCGGCCTACTGGTGACTATACTGTTCTACCGATCTCTGGGCAGCCTCGGCAGCGAGAAGGGCACCTACTTGAAGACAAGCTCCACAAAGTTTATTATAATGATCTTGTACCGATTCGTTAGGTAAGTTTCAGTTATATTACATAAATAACTTCCCCGGCAGAAGTTGCGAATATTCATTCAGTTTTGGATATTCGAAGAAAGAGAGAAAGAGAAAGAGAGAGAGGGAGAGAGAGAGAGAGAGAGAGAGAGAGAGAGACGGGGGAGTTTGAGCTCTCTTAATCGGAAATACGGGTCATTATTAATGATGGCGAATGAGATCGAATTCTATTGTGAGACATTTCGCACAGAAGTGGAGATTCGAGAGGAGAGAGAAGGAATTACTTATGATTCAGTCAGATCATTTAAACGGGATCATCGCGTGAAAAAAGCATTCTCTCTTCCCTTCCTCCCCTCTCCCCCCCCCCCGAATAATTCGATTCAGGTTGGATCAACTGTGGTATACACGAGTCTAATACTGACGCCTCCCTTTCACGCCAAGATTGACGCCGGCTTATCTCTTTGTGCTGGGGATGAACGAGATCGCCATAAAGCAAGCCCAGGCGAGAACAGTCTTTTCGCCAGCTGTTGTCGATCACCTGACCTGCGAGAAGTTCTGGTGGCGAAACGCACTTTACCTGAACTCGCTGTACCCCCGCACGGAAATGGTAAGATGATTTATACCTCGTTTACACGTAATTTTTTCCCTCGCCTCCCGCCGAGAGACTCTCGGCGAGCGAGATGAAATCGTGCGGTCTGCGCGTTCATTTTGCAACGGCATCCGTCGCAAGTGCGCGCCACGAGAGTCTTCGGAAAAATGTCGCGCAGAGACGAGAGAAGAAAGCTCGGGTGCCGCGAGCGTCGAGAGAAGCGCGTTTTCAAGAGAAAGAGGAAGAGAGAGAGAGAGAGAGAGAGAGAGAGAGAGAGAGAGAGAATGAGAAAGACAAAACGAAGAATTCCCCTGACATTTTCACCACCGAAACTCGGACACTCGATAATTAGAGACAATAACGCGGACGTATTGCAAAGTATTACGTAAGACTCGGTTACGTATTATGTAAGAGCGAGTTTTCATTAACGACGAACTTTCAACAAGCCACGAGAAGGGGGAAAGGCGTTTAGGGTCGGTCTTTGCGACGAAGCGATACTCGACGCCTTTCGCGAAAGCGTGAATTTTCCCGCTTGAGTTTCTTTTTTCTCAATCTTTTTCTCTCTTTCTCTCTCTCTCTCTCTCTCTTCCCCGCGACTTTCATAACTCTCGCGCACGCGCGCGCGCTCGCGCACCGTGCAATCTGCCGATCATAATGAATTCGCGACTACCGGATTAAAATACGTTTTCTAGTGCATGCTGTGGAGCTGGTACATGGCGAACGACACGCAGTTCTACGTCCTTGGGATATTCCTTCTTTTGCTGTCGGTGAAATATTTCAAGACCGCGATCGGCATCGTCTCGCTGCTGATCGCCTCTTCGTGGTTCACCACGTTCTCCATCGCCTACAGCAACGATTACATAGCGAGGTAACGCCCCGCTGCGCCGATTACGCCCGCATTATACAATTGGCGCTTCGTCCGGACACGGTCGGCGTCGCGCTTTCACGCGTAATTAATGCAAAAATCGCCGGAATAACCGCGACGCGCGCAGGAGCCGCGCGCGGATCGAGAATTCCACCGGCGAGGCGGAGCGAATCGCCTTCTCGGTCGAACGCTCCTCTCGGCTCCCTCTCGGATACTAAGTATTCGCGTGCTCGTCGCGAATAAAGTAGCGCGATCTCTTTATCGGGGGCCGGTTGAATACCGCGGGGGAAACAATGCTGCGGTGATACTCGCCGCACAGCACCGTCCGTAATTGAAAGCGGACTTTTATTCCAGCCAGCCAGCTAACATTCACGGTTAGGTACGCTCCGTTTATAACGACGCGGTACCGGTATTTAACGTTTACGCGGCCGCGCCGCGCAATTTCGCCGCGCGTGTTTTATTGCGCGTATACGCGCTCATATATAATTACTCTTGGCCAAACTCCTCTCGCGCAGAATCCAGGAGCCGTTCGCTCTGTTCGACGAGCTCTACGACAAGCCCTGGCTAAGAGCGGGACCGTACTTCATCGGCACGATCACCGGATACATCCTCTTCAAGACTAAATGCCAGCTCAAGCTGCCTCTGGTGAGTGAGTGAGTGAGAGCGTGCACGCGCGATTATTTGCCGCGCGACGCTTTTTCCGCTTTCCCGCGCCGCGTCGCGCCGACAGCTGCAGTCAATCGGCGAGACATTCTTGCGCGCGCGCGTTAAACGCGTTCTCGCTGAAGACGAAATTGCGCAAAATCCCGACGAACGTGCGCGCAATAGAAACGCGAATAATAACGATAATCACAAGGTGGCGGGCGCGCGAGCGTACGATAACGCGGCACGGCGCGGCGCGGCTAATGCCGACGTCGGCCGATGTCGGTAATTTGCGAACGATAAATGCACGAACGCGGAGCGGCCGATATTGAACGGCGCGCGCCGCTCGGATATTCGCTCGAGCGAACTTTTCGCTCCACTCGCCCTCCACTTCGCCGTTTTCGTTACAACCCGGCGCAAACCGGCCCGCAGCAAGTCGCAATGATCGTCAATTCACATCGCTGCCCTGCGATCTCGCTGCGTAATTATCTGGCCAGATCTCCGATTCTAAGCCCGACGGAACCGACAATTGGAATTATCAATTCAACAGGGAGCGGGCCTGATCGGCTGGATGTTGTCCGCGATGGTCATGTTCTCGGTGGTGTACGGCCTCTACCCCGGAAATCTCACGGTGCTAACGAGCTCCGTGTACGCAGCCTTGGGTCATACCGCGTGGGCAATGGCCGTGGCTTTTATCGTGATTCAATGTTGCACGGGCTCGGCACGAATGATCGACAGTTTGCTCTCACTTAGGCTAATGTATCCTCTCTCGCGGCTCACGTACTGCGCCTATCTGGTGCATCCCGTTATCATGATGGTCACGTGTGCGCAGATGGACGGGCCGCTGCATCTTCACAATGGGCTTGTGGTAAGACGGAAAGAGGAGGAGGTGGGGAAGGAGGGGAACGAGGGGAAGGAGGAGGATCGATCTTGGGATTGCGAAATTATTGGATCGAGTCACGAGCGATTGCCAATTCCTTCCTCTTTCCTTCTCTCTTTCTCTCTTCGAGTTTTCTCCCATGCGAAGTATTTCCCGACAGGATCCTTAACGCTACACCCCAGAAAAAGTATTCTACTTGTAAAGTGGTTTTTCTCATAGTCTCGTATTCTAAGCGAAGCCTTTTACAGAAAAAGGTTTCCTCTTTCGATAAAGCGATTAAAGTGAACCATTCATCTAAGACTTATTAGATTTTATTCTGTTTTCCTCTTGTGTCGAGAGGATTTCCTCTTATACATATCAATTAATTTTCCTCTTATAAGAAGAGGAATATATTGATTTGAATGTCGGCTTCTTTTGTTCAGTCACGCTCTACCTTCAAGCATGAACGAAGAAGTAACCATATGTTCATGGATCGGAATTTTTTCATGGATTTGGAATGCTTTTTGAAAAAAAGTATGTTGCTGTAACATGTAACGAAGATAATTTACCCATATTTGGTCAAATACAGTTTATAATCTATTGCAAGAAGTTGAATAACATATCCTTTCTCTCAACTATGTTTCATACAATCGGCTGTGATGAACATCTTTGTAGCTATAAAGTCCACGACAAAACTGATTGGAAATTTATTATTATTATTTGTTATGATAATCTTATTTCATTCGTGCCTACTTATTGTAGAATTGGAGCCACAAGTACATCCATATATAAATTGCTTTTCGCTGTATACTATATTTATATAATTCTTTTCAAATTAATCAATATAACCGGCAAGAATAAAGTACAGTAAGAATAAATAATAATCCTCTTAAAAACAGATTAAAACTATATGTATAAGAGGAAATTTATATTAAAATCAATAAGATTTGCATTATACATATAACATACAATCCCTCTAACTTTAAGAATAATGTGTTTATAATATTTTCCTTAATCTTATGATTAAGGAAAATATTGAAGTCGTATATAAGAATAAAATCCTCTAAAATTTAGATGATTCCACTTGTTCTGAAATTACTTTACTTTGGGTGTATCTCATTAACGCGTTTCTATTCCCGTCGCCGTTAATATTGACTGTCGTCTTTGCGACGGTAATGGAATGGTTTATCAACTCGATGATATTCGTGGTCCCGGATGCTTTCGACGCAATGGGCAACTTTGTCGTGAGGCGGACAAACAACGTTTCACGGCTCGATTCGTTTCAATTCTGGATGCGGAAGGACGTTAATATTGTACGCATGTTTCTCTTCCCAAGCTCATCCTCTACTTCGGTAACCTGGTGGCGTCGTACCTCCTGTCCTTCTGCGTCTCCCTCGCCCTCGAGGCGCCGGTGGTGAATTTGTTGAAAATTGCATTCACCTCGAAGAAGAGGGCGAGGTAGAATACGATCGCTGGCCTGATAGAAGGACAAATGCGATTATCTAGCGCGGTAAGTACGCCGCGGGAATTACGCGCGCGCGAGTTATCAGATCGATAGCGCCTGTTGTACCTCACCTGTACGTACCTGCACCACGCACTCGCACGTGCGCGCGCGCGCGCGCGCGGGCGCGTTATAATTAATAATCGCGCAGTTTAAGATAACATGATGAAATAACGATAAGACGGCCCTCGGCAGAAACGCCTCGCCTCTACTGACTGTCTCTTCGCAGGTAACGACGTTTCTCCCGCTTTCAATCTTGACGACGAGGGCAAGATGAGTATCGCCGGATAGCTTTCTAGGACGTATTAGTGGTCACAAGTCGCCGACGATCCAACGGATCGTGATAATGCGGCGATAAATCATCCGATTGGAGCGACCCTCTATAGCGTTGGAGTTCCTCCTCCCTCTCTCCCCAGCCACGCAAGCGCAGCAAGCTAAATTGCTCATAAATCGGTCACTGCGTCATGTCGCGTTATTAACGAGAGTGAGGTTGAAATTTTCCGAATGCGGCGGCGGCCGCTCGTTTTCGGACTACCTCGCTCGGTGCTCGCGGAGGAAACGCAACGCAACGAGCGCGAATGTTAGCCCGACACGCGAGTTAGCCTGTCCGTCGGTTTTAGCGCGATAAGGATCGCTGGCGCGCTGGACCAGCCGCGACCCGCTACTCTGCTGTAATCGTTTATTTACATAATGAATTAGAAAACGTTCTCTCGCCACGCCTGACGGAGATGCAAATCGCCGGTTACGGAAATCAAGCCGCATAGAATGTCGCAGAAGATTTTGCCCGCGCAGTTTTCACCGCGGGTATGTCGCGTCGTGTGTCCCCGAGCGTACGAGGAGGGGGAAATCTACGACTGTAACCGAGGAAACGCATCGAAATGGCGCGCGATAATGACGATGGCGAAAATGCTCATGCGTGTAAATCGGACCATGTTTTGTAACGGACATCTGTAATTTGTCCTCTTTCTCTGTGTAAAATAAAGAGACAGCCTGCGCGGCAATAACGAAGAGAGTTTCATTGCGCGTTCGGCGGTCGCGCTGCCCGAGTAAATAATAAATTCGGCCGCGATAACAACGCGGGAGGGTCGAGGACGAGAGAAAATCGTCGCCATCGTGATAGTGACGCCGTAGTAGCGGCTTTGTACATACGTACGTACGAATGCGCAGCGCGCGGCCAGAGATAGAGGGTGGCTCGATAACAAAAAACAAAAAAGGGAACGAGGTGAAAAAATAAAAATAACAAGTGTAAGCGAAAAATATGTTGCTACAGGTCGACGCAAAATAAGAATAGGTGGAAAAAAAATGCATTACTCTCTCACCGCGCGCGCGCGCGCGCACACAGCGCCGGCACGGAGCAGTTTCACCGAAGGGCCGATTCGCTCGCGCCAAACGAGAATATACAGGGTGTCCGGAATGTGATCATTAATATTTTGTGTACCGGTAGATTGGGTGTAGCCGAGAAGAAAAGTCATGTACCATAATGTCAAATTGGCAATAGTTATCGAGTTATTAATTGAAACATGTGAGCCAATGAGCGCGTAGAGAGCGCTGGGCGGCCGCCTCTTGTCGCTTGCGCTCGCTCGCTCCTCTTGTCGCCTCTTGTCGCTTACGGTTGTCTCCCGCCGCGCGAGGTAAGCCATCTTCTTACACACAGAGCCCGTCCTGTCGCATTCTCGTGCGCTCATTCGTTTACACATTTTAATTAATTACGGAATAAATATTGAAAAAATTGTAAAATGGCACAGGACTTTTTTAATTGTTTTAACGAGTTCTACCAGTACACAAAATATTAATGATCACATTCCGGACACTCCCCTGTATACTCCCAGCTTGCGCTGTTTCCCTTTGAAACGTTTTACAGGTCGCCACGTGGCTGCCGCGAGGTATCTGAAGTATCGTCCTGGGCTACGCACGCCGCAACGCCTCGCGCAACGATATATGTTTGTTCAACCTCGACACGCGGCGACGCCTTTTCTTTCTCTCTTTTCCTTTTCTTGTTATTTCAAGCGCTAATACAGCCTGACGACGAATTCGCCCTCACCGGTTTCGCACTAGCGAGTTCGCGGCTGACGCGGTGACGGCGCTTATCGCATATTCGGCTTCCCGGCGCGCACAGTCGCTCGGTGTTCTTTCTCGCTTTCAGCGAAACGGCGTAAAGCGGTGCGTGACGTGAAAGGAGGCGCATGTCGCAAATTGATTTTCGATGCTCGCCAGGCACCGCCGGGCGTACCGGCACACTGCGTTCGATCGCGTTATCTGTCTGCTGCAGACGCGAAAATAATTCCAAGTTTCCTCAAGACTTCAAGATAGCGACCCTCTGTGTCATCGTTTGCCGGCGACGGATGACTAATAACCGCGGGTAAAATACGCGGCGTCTCGCAGGTGCTTGATGGTCGATTGACATCGACGGGAACGTCTCAGAATCGTCAAATATATAGGTAAGTCTTAGGATAGATGGGCATAATCGTTTTTTTCTGATTGGAAATAACATATCTGTATTATCGCAATAAATGATCAACAACATATTAAACACACTCAGTAGAGGATAATGTTTAAGGTACAGAAGAATTCTTGTGAAAAGAAAAATATCCTGCGAGGGATAGATGGTCGTCATATGCGTGAAAGGACAGTTGGGCATGCCTACATTAATGTAGAAATTTGTTTATCTTTATTTATGTTTTTAGTATTTTACATCCTTTTATTAATCCTTTTATTAATTATTAATAAAATAAAACATTTCCACAAGTTTCTTATAAAGACCAAGGACAACATTGGAGAAAAGCGGTGGCAACACAGAGAAAGGCCCTGTGGGAAAACATTGTTTATTAAAGAGAGAAAAGAGAAAGAAATCTATTCGGCATCTTTAAACAAAACAAGAAGCTGTTTAAATTGTACTGAAGTTTTTAATGTTGGGTATCCAGGGAAAAATGATGGTCGAATAAATATCGGATCTTTTATGCGTCTAAAGTATCTAGAAAACGTCGATCCGATGTCCATAGCTTGCTATTTCTCGTTGAGCAGGCTGCCCATCTAACCCTGATAAAAATGAACCATCTGTCCCGTTTGGAGAGTTCGCGTAAAGATGCGTATACCGCGTGAAACGTAGACGTCGGTGACGAAGTTTGAGATTAAATATGCAAGTACGATGTTTTTTTAGTGGTTTAAGCCCAGGTCTAATGTTGTAACTGAAAATAAACCATATTCGCAAGATATTTCTCCGATCATTTTGGAGGTTAATAGAAATACAAAACATTTATTTACTCACAATAAAAGTGTTTTTGTGCATCTAGAAGAGACACACACTTACTCGTGATACATTCAACTCACTGACTGATCAGCGCTGACGCCTAGCATATGTTAACACAATTGATCATCTATTCCCTGTGCCCATCTATTCCGAACTTGCTCTATATATGTGCAAGAAGAGAGAGAGAGAGAGAGAGAGAGAGAGAGAGAGAGAGAGATTCAATTTGCTGCGTCAATCTAGTCGAATATTTAATCCCGTCGATGAAATGCATTGCGAGAAAAGCATCCGCTCTTACGGCGGATAACAATCGCGACAGTAATATCGCGCGGTGATGAAATTCAAATTGCGAAAAGCGAGTATTAAATATCGGGCGCAGAGAAGCCGCAGGATGAAATTTGGGAAAATTTCGCACCCCCTGCTGGCGAATAATCGCCAGCGTATTGCCCGCGGCTGGTGAGCGCGCAGTACCTTTTTCGATGATTCTCCTGGGTCCCGCGAGGTAAGCACATTTTCCAGCTTCATCTCAGCCTTATTGCGTCCACGTTACAGTGTCACATACGTGCGCGCTACATACGTACGTACGTGTAGAGCGGCGGCACACAGGAAGAAGAACGGAAAATAATACGAGGGCAAATGTTTGCGGAACATTTAAGCGACAGCATATCGTTATATGTGATGTACCGTGCAAATAGCGTTTGCCGTGAAAAATTCACGGCGTTCGCTCGGCCGCCGGGAGCGCGTGTTGCACGAGGCGAGCGCAGGAGCGACGAAAGATCCCTTTGAGATTCGCGAGTAAAACTCCGATGGAAAACAGTCACGCACCAGTCGCTTCGTCACTAATCGTCGGCTCTCGCCGCGCGAGAGCGTTTTTCGGCAAAAATGCGAGGGCCTCGGGCCTCCTATCGCGAGGGACCGCGCGCGCCAACGGCTGATGTGTTAATTAATCCGTCGATAAGAACGGGCACGTACGTCGACGGCGGCGCTCTAAAGCGTGCCGACTCGCGCGAGATAAGCCACGCTGCCGCGCGCGCGCGCCACGATTTACAGATCGGCGCGGAATTAGCTGGGTTATTAAGATGGCGAGCGAAATGAAGCGGCGATTTTTCGAGGCGGAAGCTCTCGCTCGCTCTCGCCGACGACGGTACTTTACGCGCACCCTATGGGCTTTAATCGAGACGAGCGTAGCTCGTCGGGTCTTGCGTTAATTAAAGCGCTCCGTCGTTCACCGTCGGTTGACGAGCTAATACAACAAAGTGCCGTCAGCGATACGCCTCTCTCTCTCTCTCTCTCTCTCTCTCGCTCTCTCTCTCTCTCTCTCTTTGTCTCTGTCGTTCCCTTGCTGACGATACAGAATTTCGCAGAGTGATAAATCTTGAGCTGACCGAAGTCTGACGCTATCCAGCATCTGGCGTTTGACACACACAGAGATACGCAAGAGAAATTAAAGTCGCCGTCAGATCAATATCCGCCTATTTCCAACGTTCTTACATCGTCCTCTCGTCAAACCTCTCGCTCATCCCTCCCCCCTCCCTACTCTCTCTCTCTCTCTCTCTCGACCGATATCTAAATCCGCTCATAATCTCGATGCGCCAGCACGAGTCTTGTAATCCAGCGCGCCGCGAATCCCGCTCGTTCGCGTTTCGCCGGCCGCGTACACGTCGTTACGTAAAGCGATGTATTAAATTCTCCTATACGCCGCGGTTTCTCGAGTCCGGCGAACACGTTCGAAAATCATCCGCGTCTGTCCACCGCGATTTTGCGGTCACGAAACACGACAGCCACGGCGTGCGCAACGCAACACCGGCCGCAACGACGACGGCCGGGCTGAGCCGGACGGACGGACGAGCCGGGCGCACGCATGCACGCGCACGCATGCACGAGGAAACATCGCGTTTGCGTGCGGCTGCGAGTGCACTTTCGTAGGATTAAGTCCACAAGGCAGCGAGCCGAGCAAAGGACCTGCGCGCGGGCGCGTGAGCGCGTGGCCGCGGGCCACGGCGCCTCATTAGGAAAATCGATATCACTTTAATTATTATACCGAGTCTTTCGAGCACACCGAGCGTAAACGCAGCAATTAGGCGAACAAAACCGTGCCGCCATTGAATGGTTCCAGGACACTGAACGTTTAATTAAAAGTCACTCTCACGGCTGTGCGTGCGCTTGACGTCACCACGTTTGCCAAAGTTTCCGGGGACGCCCGCTACGATAACGAATGTGTCTTAACACGGGTAAGATGCGGAAAACGCGACGCGAACGCACCGAGAGCTCGCGAGCTCCTCCCGCGTCTCTCACGTTTCTCATTTATCTCCTCCTTTTTTCAAGGAGGAAGAGCGCTCTCGCGCGCATATCGCTCCGTCGGCAATATTTTTAATTAGCTCGCTCTCAATTTCCCCGCCCCACGGCCCGCGTTCCCAATCGCGACACACTGGCACACAAGAGAGGGCTGTTTCGCGGCTTTCTGAACCGGAACGCGGACACGAACGCGAACGGGAAATTGCGCTCGAGGACCTAGAGCGACACGCGCACCATAAGCGCACAAAAGCGGCGAAGCTGCGCCGCCGCTTCGGGCTGACGAATTTTCTACATAAAAGCCTCTATTCATATGCGGACGTGTAACACGCGTTCGATCGCATTCGACACTTAGCCCGAGCGTCAGTTAGTCCGAACTAACGCTTTCAATTGTGCAACGTCGACGCTGCGTGCGCTGTCGTGCATCGGTAAGTGAGGACTGTGGTGAAAGAGCACCACGTAAGATTCACATGTGTTCCACGCGTCAGCACGATAGAGAGAAGAAGGGTAGAATAGGTGTGCGTCGGCAGATATTTATACAGGTTGTCCTAAACATACCGGAACCCCCGGATAACTTTGCAGGCTCAAGTTTTCATGAAAAACTTTAAATACAAAAGTTGCAGAAAATCGAGTAACGGACTTGATGCCTTGATCTTGGTCATGACCTTCAAGGTCATTTGGAGGTCAACTTGCGTTTTTTAAATGGGAACCCTTATTTTTTATTACACTGTTTTTCTTTTCTACCAATTAATTTGAACAACTTTTGTCTAAAACATGTTTTTATTCGCCTAATATCTTTTTTAAATGTTTGAGGAAAACTTGATAACTTTTTCAATATTTAACTTACGATATCTCTCGCTATTTG